TGGACTTAGATTAGCAGGTTCTGACAAAGCTGTCCAGCCTGTTGTATTCGATGGAAGCAGGTTCTGACAAAGCTGTCCAGCCTGTTGTATTCGATGGACTCACCTTTAGTTCCAAACTTTCGACATTTGCTAATAATATAAAGTTGCTATGTTTTTTTGGTAATTTCTAGTCCTATCAAATCGGTTTGGTATTATGTTGACAAAGCCTTCTTTATTATTCTTTGGGTATACGTTTCCAGTGCTTTTACTAATTTGTCAGTAACTTTCCATTCTTTGGTTGATTCTGTGATTGTCTAACGTTCTATTAACTAGTCGTGCCCAACTGAGTCAGAGACATTGGCTGTTTGCATGGCATAATACTTTTCATCAATATTTCGCTGTACTTTAAGCCCATTATCCCCTCACTGCAGTCTTCTTATTCATTAAATATTTATTTATGTTTAAAGCACATTTTTACATTTTATGTTTCTTAACAAGGAATTAAATGCTATGTCTATTTATTTATGTCTATGGTCTATACCTAAGCCGAAAATGTGACGTCGCGCGATCAGATGATCATGAATGCAAGGTCAATGTGCTTGAGTTAGGTGGGGACATAACTAGGCGGAATTAGAAAGGTGAAGGTTAAGATAGTATAGGCGTGAAAAGAAGATTCTAAGAGGTTTGGGGGGGAGGAGACTATTTAAGTAGTTAGTTGTTTTTTTTTTCTTTTACAAAGCTTATATCAACTCTGTCTGTCTGGTAAAAGTTTGAATATGTTTTTTCTCCGAATTCCCATTCTCGCATCCGGTTGAAACTTTGCAACCAATACAAAAAATTAACCAATTTGTTAATTAATTATTGGTGATTCATTATTTTTTTTTATTATGAAATAAGGAGAATAAATGCTACTTAATGAGAGATATGGATGTATATATGGATTTAATCCCATTCGTTTTGTCACGTTTTTTCTCCCACTTCCCATTCTCGGATCAAATTGAATTTTTTTTAGTCGATGACAATACACGAATCAATCCAAAAATTAATCAATAAGTTAGTCAATTAGTACTCTTTTATTTTCAGTCAGCGTCAGCTAAAGTTAGGACTTGAAGAGTGAGAGCTAAATGTCGCTAGTTAAGATTCAAGGTGAGTTAGTTTATTTGAGCATTACTAATATTATAATATCCTGTATCCAAAGCAAAGCATCCTAACAATTGCAGGGCCCTATGCGAAACGGATTGCGCGGGTTACAGTGTGGGTAGAGATAAGCATAATGTCAAAATTAAGATTTTGTATTAGAAAAAAAATTCCTCTTTGCAATAAATTATTTATTAAAGGAAAGCTGACAATTCTGTTTTTTTTTTATCGCGCGTAAGGTTGGCAACCCAAATTGACAATTGTGTCAATTTTTTTCGGAGATTTTTATGAGTTTTCAGGAGATCAATAATTTCAGGAGATTTCCAGGACTCTTTTGCAATTTCAGGAGATTTCTAGGTGGCCCTGGAAAATCAGGAGGTTGCGGAAACCCTGTTATTATATATAAGGTATAATGATTTAATTTAACCATTTACACTTAGAATTAGCGCGCGGTCTATGAACGTTTGGGCCCACTGCGGCCGCATAGGTTGCAGTGGCCTATGACCGTTCCTGCTTGTATCTGAATCATATTTATTGTATCTATATTTATTGTTTCAAGTTCAAGTTTGAAAGAGTTAAACTCAAGAAACCTATATTTACACTGTGTTATTAAATTGTATCTTAGTAGTGTTAATCTTACAACAGTGGCTCCTCTGCACCCGCATGTCAAAGGATTTTTAGAAGATAAAAACACAAGTCAATTTTTTCAAATAACATCGTGACATATCTCTCCCGCGAAGTAAAAGCAATGTTTATTTAAATAAATAAATAATTATCCCCCAAACCAAGAAATACCTAATTAGGTTACTTAATTTATTCATTAATGTTAGTTACATAACAGCATTTTAATTCAATTTGAATACTGGTGAATACGTTTTAATTAGGCCTACTTACTTGAATTCCATTGTTTCTGGCAGCTGACAAAAATAATAAGACTAAAAAAAATAAGCGAAAATTGATTGAACATTCTCTTGTTTTGTAAATATTTGAAAATGAAAGAATTTAGTCAAGAACTTGAGACTTTAAGTGCTGAGGTTTTGACAGGCTCGTCTTTTATTCAAAACATTATCAGCAAAAGTGATTTTTTTTTTCATCCATAGTTCCAATTTTTGCTCTCATAAGGATAATGGTTTTAAAAAATTCATTCTATATTTTTGTGTCGTAGTGTCTTTAAAAAATTCTATATTTTTTAAGAAGTAGGCTAAAGGATGTGATCTGGACATTTTTCTGATCAAGTTGCCAACCACCTTTGTACATTGTTAATTAACAAAAGATATGATTGAATGTAGCCTATAAGACTTCTTTTATTGAAAACTTAAATAATTTTCATAAACTGATCTTAGTCTTTCTAGCCTCACCTAAAACACCGCCATTGTTTATTGGCTTCAAGGTCTCAATCTACTTGAGTTAACGCGCAAGCTACTACCTAAGTCTACAACATTACATTGGGTTTATAGATCGTGTTTTTTTTGGGTTTTTTTGTAGAAAATTTGTGAAAAATTTTCAATACTAATTTTAAAAAGCCTTTTTTTTTCCATTTTATTTTTTTTCTATGAATGTAGGCCTAGCTTCATTTCTATCGATGCGCACAGGGACATGCGAAGCGTAGGCCTAGTATTTATTTATTGGTGCACCTTTTCATTAATTGATAATAAATACACTATTATATTCTCTTTACATAATTGACTAGCCAATACTTCGAATTATGTTGTTATGGTATCTTGTCTTCTTTTGAAATAGTCTCACATAATTGGATAATTCACCATGGATTATAAAAAGGACTTTTTTGATTGTAATATAGGCTGTACAACATTATTGATTTGCCTATGTAGGGCTGTGCCAAGTGGTGGATTTACCAATAGGATACATAAGCTATATATTAGGCCTTAGGGCTCCCGCCTGCTTTGGCCCCCCCCCCCCCCCCAATGGTTAATTAAATATTTTCATCAGTTTAAAGAAAGAGCAAAGGGAAAAAAAAAGGGGTAACTAGGGGTCACATATCTCTAATAGTTTAGGGCCTTATCAGGTCTAAATTCGCCCTGGCTGTAACATATAGTTTACTATGGGCCGTTGATAAATGTTATTAATTCTGAGCCATTTTCATTATCCCAGAAAACAACTTAAGTTCCCAAGACTAACAATTTCAGCAGGTGTGGGTTACCAAAGGCAGGCGGTTATGGTGTATATGCGTGTTTTGATGTAAAGGTGAGCGGAAGGTTTGGCTGTGTAGGCTGAAGAGATTCTGATAAAACAACGAGTAGGCAGGGCCGGGCTTAGGCATAGGCAAACTAGGCACCTGCTTGGGGCCTCCGATAGGTGGGAGCCTCACACAGGATTCAAAACGTGTATCAAATCTCACATATAGCAGTGCACTAGGGCTTTACGTCTACTAGCCAAGTTCCAAGTTCTGCTATGAATCAAGGTTTGTTTACAATTGTTAAAATCTACTTGCTAGAATGCTTATGTCAGAAGACCCTTGTTTTTTTAAAATTTTTTTCAATGTTTATTTTGACTTTGCTATTTCCTTTGGGGCCACCTAATTCACTTTGCTTAGGGCCTCCAATTACCTATGGCCGGCCCTGGATGTGGTCTGGCTTAGTTCAAATCAATAGGGGTGTTAGAGTTGGAGAAGAGATAGCAAACGAGAGACGTGAGAGAGAGAGAGAGAGAGAGAGAGACTATTATTTTAGTGTAGTAAATCTTGTTTAAAGTATCATTATTTCATTTGTGTTTCTAGGCCACATACATCTACATTGAAGTTGAAAGCTCTATATTTTTATTAATATAAGTTTGATTCAGTTTTTTTCACCGGTTTATTTCTACTAACTGTTTTGGAACTACAACCAAACGACCGAGTATTAACACAGGCCTACGGCAATGTATAATTTCAATTTGAAAAGCTAACTTATTAAGTAAACTTTAAGAATGTTGGTATGGGTTGTCAAATGCTGACCGATGACATTTCTATGAATATAGGCCTATCTTCATTTCTATCTATTAGTTTCAACGCGCACAGAAGGATATATTTTTGTGGCGAAACGTATTTATTATTTATTTATGGGTTGTCAAATGCTGACCAGTGACATTTCAAACGTCTAGATAAGAAAGCAGAACACAAAACTCTGCCTTGAGTTGAGTACAACGTCTATAAATAGATTATGAGTAATGATCTCCAGTTTTTAACTAAACTGAACCATATCTCCCCTCAGCATGTATACTGAGTGTATATCTAAAAAATATGTAGATAATGATATATAGCCAGGGGTCGAAAACTTCCAGACAAAAGTAGGCCAATCCCATTGTTTATCTCGTAACTTAAGACCAAGTCTTAGTACTTCGAATCAGGAAATAAAGCAAATACTTTTTTTTTCTCTCGAGATTAAATTATAGAATAAAAATGACTACAATTGCTATACATATTTGATGAGCAGTGAAGAGGTAGGTCTACTGGTAAACCGAAGTTATCTTATCTTAATAAATTACAGACGTTAATTCATAAGGTAGCAAAGTCATCTAATAATCTGTACACATACTTACTTCAGAATTATTTTAAGGACCTTTGATTTTCAGTCTGTCCAAATGTCTATGTATTTACATTTTCCCCTAGATTTGTATTTCACTTATAAACTTGAGTTCCTTGGAGGCAGGTTTAACGTCTTAATGTAGACAAATATGTAGGTAGCAGCTAGACTGTAGATTGGGACTTAACAGACATGTCACACATGTTGAATTACAGAGAGCACTTGGTAGGCCAAGCATTGCAAGTCAATGTTGCACAAGTTTCTGTATCTCCCTACTCTATTGCTAAATTTGGCTGAATACAGGGGAACAGAGAACAATGAAATAAAGCAACAGCATTAACGTTTTTTATTTTTATTCATTTCTTATCTGCAATAAAATTATATTCACTAACAAAATAATCATCTGAATGGTGGAAAATAGATTCCAAGGAAGCACATTTTTTACACTAGCACAGTAAGGTAAGTGGAACTTTTCTCTATTCCTTTGTGGTCCTGGAATAAGGGAGATAAATCAATACGCTGCAACATTTTTTTTTTCAAATAGTTGCTAAAGAGCTCTGGCATGACTGTCTTTATAACTTATTCTGAATTGTTCATACCATTCACGAAATTGAAATTTTACAAGGGAACTATTGCATTTTTTACACATAACAAAAGGATTTGAAATTCAGATTTAACACCAATCATTTCATGCTGTTACATTTTAAAAGACTAGATAATGCTTCCCAATCTTTCAAATTTGAATGTACGACATCATTAAAATATAAATATATTTAAAAAAACAAGAGGGAAAATGGTTAACTTTAAGTAAATTTTGTGTTAAATAAACCAATATTTCAGAGCAAGACATGCTTTTATTGGCTATGTAGGCCTATTCATTTAAGAAAATTAACTTCATAAAAAAAAAATGCCAAACAAGATTTGCAGAGTATCAGTGTCCATTTCCACATTCCATCAAAATGCTTTGAATGTAAGATATTATATAATCTTTATGGATTTTTTTTACAGGTAAAATGAAAACAAAAGATATGGAAAAAAGATTTTAGTTTTAAATTGCAAACTTTGTGAGTGTTATGGTACTCAAAATGCAAATTGACTCCAGAAAACCATTGTATGGAAGTGTAAAGACAGGATACACAAATTGCTCTTTTTTTTTTTGTTTTGTACTGAAATCAACAGATACCCAGACCTCATCCAATGACAGGCTCAACTCAACATCAATTTGCAGTAAACAAACTCACAAGATATTCACACATTTCAATGTTCAGATTTACTTGAACAAATATTTTAAACACTTTGACTGAAATGCACTAAATAACAATAAAGTTTGATGCATTAAAAGAACTCTCATGTTAAAAACATTTTCAATTTCAAAATGATTTCCAGGAAGTAGGACATGTACATAGATCAGTGAGGAAACTAGATTCACAGGTTCATATAGGTTTGTAAGATTAGCTTAATGAAATTCAACAGCTTTATTTCAAACAAAAATATAGAACTACACATCTTATAAAGTGACCTACTTAAAAAAGATAGTCTTAACAAACAATAAACTTCAATATCATCATCAAAATAAACAATAGAACAGGTCACAACTTAAGCATCTATGAAATACATTTAAACTTTTGGTTGCACAGTGTTAAGTGTAAATTGGTACTTGATTTGAGCAGCTCATATAGTGCTCATTGAATGTACATGAAGAAAAACCTTATGAAGTCTGGGAGCCCCATCTAGTCACTGCCTTTGTAAAACATAAAATATTTTTATCAAAAGAGCCAATTTTTGTCAGTAAACCAGAAGAGGTAGCTAGTGTAATTGAAAAACAAAAAGAAAAAAATTCATTTTTACTTCTTGAAATAAACCTGTGAGTTTGACTGATTTGTTGTGTTCAGTTCTGGATTGTACATATTGCTAAAGAAGATATATATATACCTAAAAATATTTAAGTCAATTAAGAAAAAATAAACTATCCTGGAGATTTCCTACCAACAATCTAAATACAATAAAAAAAAAAAAAAAAAAAAAAGGAATGTTTCCACCAGAACAGTGCCTCAACTCCTTGTCATTCTGAATATTTTATCATCCTAATTACCAAATACTAGTTGTGATAAGAAGTATTAAAAATAAGAACAAAATCTTCTTACCAACACAGCAAATCTATAATATAAATAAACAGGAATTATTAACACTACAGAAATAATTAGTAAAACTTGTCTATAAAATCTACATCTTTTAAAACCTAAAATGATAAATTAGGGTAAACAAAATGATACCGACATGTACCAAATAAGAGATTGAGCTTTATTGTCCATAAGTACATTTCAATTAATAAATTATTATTTTTTTGACTTCAAGAAATATATAAAGTATGTACAAGATAAAAAGTTTGCCAACTAAAATCATTTAAAGTTTCTAGAAAAAAATCCATTATGTTTTTAGCTGCTGCTGATTAAAAAATAATTGTAAAACCTAATTATTTCATAGAATTTCTTAAAATTTCCATTAGAAGATTAAAAATGACCTCAGTTTCACTATCCTACTGGCCAGGTTTTGGTGAATTTCCAAACATTTTGTGTGTCACCATAAACATATGATTTCATTCCAAATGAACTTGTATAAATTCCTCTATCCAATGTTTGGTCACATACTACCTGATAATTCTTGTAAGTAAATTGTTATCCCTTCTTTACAAAACAACAACAATGAGCAAAATGTAATGAACAAGTTCAATGGTATTTATTTATATTACATACTTGTGTGCCTGCTTTCAAAGACTGGGGAATTGATGAGAAATAACCAAAACAACAATAGAAACCAGAATGATTTTTGATCAGTAATTAAGCATGAGACTGTATACTAGATATTTCAACAATATAATACAGTACATGAGTATGAGATGTCAAAAGAGACACATTGAAACTTAAAAGCATAAACAGACAAAAAAAAACATGACCAAACAAATTAATAAAGGATTAAAAAAAGAAAAACATTACTGCACTGCATATTCAAGATGTTAAAGATAACTTTCTAAGTCATACTTATTTTTATCTATATCATTGGAAAAACTTTATTTGTTTATTGACCCCAAAATAAAATACACTTGAACTACTAGGTCAAAACTTAAATCTCTGTAGATTGAATGAATTAAAAAGAAAACAGAAAACAAGTAACACTGCAAACAAAAACAAAAAAGGGAAGATAATCAACAAAAAAAAATGTACAGAAAGATTTTAAAACAAAGATCAACATATGACATTGCTACCTAATATACAGCAACAATTTTTAAAAAGTGTTTTACAGACTCAACATACATATTGTCCGGAGCATAACAACCACTAAATAAAGAAAGGTGTACTGTAACTTTGCATTAATTTGATACTTTTGAAAAAATGAAACAAACTAGCAAATGTTTGAATATGATGACAACATACAATTTGTGGCTTGCAATAGTCTGGAGTAGTGATGCCCAATCTAATTCAATCTGCAGGCCATTTTAATTTCCAACACTAGTGTCGCGGGCCACATGATTGAAAAGATACAAAAACTTAATGAAATCGACCTGAAACTATTTTATTTCAAACCCGAAGATCTAGTACTTACATTGAATTATTGGGATATTTGAATTTTCTCTTTGCACTTTAAAAAAATGGCGAAAGATCTGTTTATATTTTGTTGTTCTTGTTTTTTTTTTTTTTTTAAACAACCACTTTTTCTTTATGAAAACAAACATGTTGGCTAGCAATGGTATCATGTTCTACAAAAAAGAAAAGATCCATTCACTTTTCCTAATAGGTTCTATTCCTATTTCATGAATGCACAAATGTTTAATGCCTTGGTAGTAATCCATTAGAAAAAAGCAAGGGCCTTAACGTAGGTAAAGATATTTTAAAATTATTTTTTTTTTGGTGGGGAAGGGGAATTTTCTATATTTTGTGCTAACGTTTCTGCGGGCCGAATGGAAACACGTCCCGGGCCGGATCTGGCCTGCGGGCCATATTTTGAGCATCACTGGTCTAGAGCAAACAGTATCTATAGTTGAAGTAATTTGATAAATTACAGTTTCTATAAAAAATATTTATTAATTATGAAAAAAAAAAAGGACAAAAAAAAAAAGCTTTAATTCCAATTATCTGAAAGCACTTTGCATTTATATTAATAAATTTATTGAGTGATTATTGTATCCTATAATAAAGTCAGTGACGCATGTTTTAAAGACAACCAAGTTGTCAAATTAATATCAGAAGAGGCAAATAAAAGATTCTCAACTAAAACACATAGAAATAAAACTATTTATTGAACTAGCCAACTGAATCCCAACAATTCTTCCTATTTGTTAACTACAAATTATTTCTCCCAATTTCTACACACTATGATGATTTCAATTTAAATAAAAATGAATTACAAAAAAGCACTGAAATGTCTTCAGTTCTTAAAAAAAGGACATTGGTAGTCTGTTAAGACAGCAGTGGTAACTAAATTCCTTACTGGAGAATGAAAGTAAAAATCTGTGTCACATTAAAGTTTGAAACCAAGAGGTGGGCAACCATCCAATCTCTTTAAAATGCTTAAAAGTTTCAACCAAACTGACAAGTGCACACAATCTAGTTTAATAAATAAAACTTAAAACATGGCATGATATGTTCATAGCAAAAAAATACTGGCACAGGTGTCAAACACATGCTCTCAGACTAGACAGAGAGATGGTTATCAAAGCATTTAACCAACTTGTGACTTGGTAAAGAACTATATACAAGCCAGTTTTCTAAAGATCAAAAAAGGATTCCACAGATTTCAGAAACAAGATAATGTACAGGCACAAAGCCATCTGTTTGTATAAAAAAGGCAAATATTGATGTACTACAAATAGTTTCAAAAACTGTCATCACCAAGAAAATTGTATAGAAAGAAGTTGCTTGTTTGTTGAAAATTTGCATGAAAAAAACTTCCAGCAAATGAAAAAGCTATATTCAGTAAGGAAGAGACAACCTGAATAGGTGATCCTTGATTAAAACTGTCATCATTCTAACAGCTATTGTTCCCATAAGATTAATTTAACATCAATAATGAATTTGTATAGCACATTCTCACTATAGTTAGCATTACAAATCAAAAGGGAAAATATCTAAGAAAAGTTTTTTTAAGCATTCTCCCACCCTAATAGATTTCAATATGAAAATTTTCAGAACTGTCATTTACTTTATCTAGGTACTTTTTCATGCTTTCAAAATTGTAGTTTCTAATTTTATTACTAACAGAAAGACATAAGAGTATTTTAAATGTAACTATCAAGTTATTGGAATTTGATCAGCATATACTTGACTAAATGAAACAAAGCTTGAACAATTGAATCCACAGCAGGCTGCAGACTAGTTTTAGATTGTTTGTAAATATTGAATTCATTTTTTTAAAACATTCACAAAAAAAGAAAAGCAATATTCAAAATACTGATGGAATAAAGACTGGAATTTCACTAGGAACTGAATTATGAGCAGCATGACTACTCAGTTTTATTCTAGATTTCAATGCTGCATAGATTTCATTACTTGTAGTACACACATGTCCCTTTCAGAAGTATGGAATCAGTTAGTCTTTGACATACGCTCTGCAATCCCATATGTGTAGAATTTGCACTTTTTGAGGTCAACTTTGATTCCAGTTAGTTCGAAAATCTCCTCTTCAAGAAGTTTATGAAGGCCTGTGCCATCTCTCAGATAAACCCACTGGCCCTCATAGTAGTCAAATCGTTTGGGACCACTAAATGAAAAAACAAATTTCACTTATAAAGTAATCTAAAAGAAATTTTTAAAAATCTATAAACTAAATTTCCATTTAGAAAGATATCCACTTTCACTATAAACTATAACTAGAATAACTAGATAAATTTTTTTGAAGTAAAGCATGATTTTTTTAAATGTGATGAGTCGTGGGTGAATGGGCTTCATGCACAAATTAAAACTTAGAGTTGGATTCATCAAAAACAAATTGATGAAGAACAAACATTAACAGCTAATTCCAGCAAAGCAGTAAGGATAGAGAAAATGAATTATTCATAGTGTAATATTCAATTCAGATTGTTGTTATGTTGTCATGTCAAGGAGGAGGTTTAGGCTAGCATGTAACAATCTTTCTTATGATGGAACCTCTGAATCTTAAAAAAACAAGGAAGCACCATGATCTAATTACCAGATATTACACTTATTATATACTGTAAACTTATCTGGCAGAGCCTGTTCAGAACAATGACAAGGTAATGCCTTACAAACATGACTTTTGCCAATCTCTGAAGTTTATTAAAAGCTCTTTTTTTTCTTTCTTATTTTTGACAAATTAAAAAAATACTTGGTCAATTTTTTTTTTTTTGTTGAGAATGACAAGTTTATTATTTTTACCAAGTATCTAGTTTTGTCAAAGTTAAAAGTAATTGCCTGGTACCTGATAATGTGATATGCACTTGTTCCAAGTTCCAACTCTGCCCCAAACAAATGTGTATGTAGCCTTACCTAAGTGGAGAGGACAGCCAGATCTGTTTATTAGGAGTTTGTTTGTTCAGGACATATGTACCTTCTGTACTTCCAAGGTGAACTGTCAGCACACCATTCTGTTAGACAATAATAGTAATGAATAGTGGTATTTTTACTGACAATTCAAATACACAATTACAGCAAAACCTTGTTTTAAAGTCATAGCAATCAAAGGAGTTCCAGAAACAATCTTGGCCCAATGGAGGACTTTTATAGTTATGACAATAATATGTTAAAACAAACAATTAAATGCTTTTAAAAGTTCTCCTTGTATTATGTGTGAACATAAAAAAAGCATTAGTAACAATACCCCAAAAGCACAGTCATAGTCCTCATTGCAAGCTTCAGTCTCTGGCAACTCCTCAAAGAACTCAGATAATGAATCCAGTGTCT